AGGAGGAGGCTACAATGCTTGATAAGAAATGTACTCATTATCTTGCCCATGTAATTGTAACTCCTCTGTACAGTATTTTCACAATAAAAAACAATCTGAAAAAAAGAAAAAAAACAACTAAATCAAAAAAGGGTTTGTCATGTGGTTCAAGTGTGTGTGTGTGTGTGTGTGTGTGTGTGTGTGTGTGTGTGTGTATGCTAGTACTGGGCCTTGAACTAAGGGCCTGGGCACTGCTCCTGAGCTTTTTATGCTCAAGGCTAGGGCTCTACCTGTGGAGCCACAGCTCCACTTCTGCCTATTTTGGTGCTTAACTGGAGATAAATGTTCTGGACTTTCCAGGCTGGCTTTGAACTGTGATCCTCAGCTCTCAGCCTAAATAGCTAGAATTACGTCATGAGACACTCAGGCCAACATAAAATTTGTAGATACTAAGTGATAATGGTCCTAAATTCCTACAGTCAATTGTTATACTGTTTCTATTCCAGTAACCTATCATGTGTTCTCCCTACCAGATATGCTGAGCAACATTTGAGGGAATGTATATAGTTAATAATCTATTGGAGCTTACGGTTACTCTAAGGCTATCTGATCAATGTATTTGAATTTATCCTTGTAAGACATATACTATAATTAGGAAGCTACTAAAAGTGCCTAGTAAATACCACAGTCAATTAGCAAGGTTGTAGGAAGTTAATAAGAAAGAGGACTGGCTGCCTTCAAGGCCATCATAGAAGGGATGTGGTTCAGAGGAGAAAATAACTCCTCTAACCTGCCCACTCATTTCGCTATAATTATTTACTTTTTCTAACACAACTCATATATTTCCAAACAGTTAAAATGAACCAATTATAGAGGAAAATAAAAATCTTTGGTCTTACCCTTAGCGAAAATAGTCTTTTTTTTTTCTGTCTAATCTACATGTTTGGTGTGGTGCTTAGTAACTGTTAGCTTGATTCAAACTTCCTTATTATCATGTTTGAACACAGTGAATATGTAGAAATAACTGAGAAAGTAAATTTTATTCCTTGCTCAGAATTCTGCAATAGGAATCCAATTTGTCTCCCAAATATAGCCGCATCAAGTCAAATCCAAAAACAACATGAGAAGACCTATCAGGTCTGGACCATGTCTTTTCCTGCCCCCTGTAACTACATGCATTTGCTTCCTGAATTACATTAGCCACAAGCACACAAAGGAAGTGGAACATGTGCTTGTAATAAGAACTGCTTTGATTTACAGGAGAACTGGCGATGTGTTCTCACTGTTGAGGGCTGAAGCTTTCACTCAAACATTAAGCATGCTGTCTTATGGCATCCAGACCCTGTCCAGGTCACCACTTACATTATTTTTCTGCAAGACCCGCAGTGCCTTGTTGACATTGTTCAGGGCATGAACTCTTGTAGATCCTTTTTCTTTTGGCTGAAAAGAAAAAAAAAGTAGTGTTCACTGCCCAGCAGAGAGAGTAAAAGTCTTCGAGAAATACAAGGATATGTAAATTCACTTTTAAGTTTTAAATATTTTACATTTAAATGAACCCAAACTGTGAGGGATTGATAGAAGGAATCTTCAGGCTTTGAGCTAATTGTCCTGAGCATAGTGCTTTTGTAAAATGCATAAACCAATCACTCTATGAGAATGAAAGCATTTTGCCCTCCCACTCCTTACCCACCATGAACCCTGACTTCTTCTTCATTCTGTAGCCCAATATGGATTACTATATGCTTATCAATGACAGAAAACCTCACTATAATACATGGAGACTGTTAAGAGTGAGATAAAAAAGCAGTAATTTTCTACACTTGTTAAGAAAGAAGATGTGAGTCTTAAAGTTATATAATGCTAAACTGGGCAAAAGAAAACTACTTTATTGACTATTATCTCAATTACTCTGGTCACGGAAGCAGAAAAGCTCAATCATCTTTAGTTCCTTAATCTTCATTTTTAGCCCAAACATCATATCTCATCCTGTAATTTTAAACTAACATCTGCATAATTCATTGTGACACACAAATTACCCCATTTATCCAATTGTGGAGTTTTAGAAATTCTGCTGTTAAGGTCTTTGTATTTGTTCCTTGCTTCTATTTTCATTTGTTTCATTTATTTATTTTTTGTCTGTTCTCTTAAGATAGGATCTCATATAGTCCAGGCTGGACTCAAACTCACAATCCTTCTGCCTCCACTTCCTGAGATTTATAGGTATGCACAACCACCCCACTCTCATTTCCCTTAAGTCCTTACTAGCTATTACCCAGAATATATCAGAGCTTCCTTTCCTTCTCATTCACCGTTCTTCCTTTATATTTACATATCTCCAACAATGACAAGGTCCACTGCTACTGACAACTCTTTGCTTAGCTTTCATCTGAAACTTAGGGTGGGTATATTTTAGTTAAAGGCATAAACTATAAAACTACACTCAGTTAAATTTCCAAGCCTGCCATTTTTGCACTATATGACCTTGGGTAAATTTCTCAGTCTTTCTGTATACCAGATTCCTCAGAGTTAAACTAACAGTCTGTATCATTTTTGGGAGAATCCAATGTATATAAAGCACTTAGGTAAGTGCCTACCACATAAATACAATAGGTTTGCTATTATCATTGATTTGGTAGTAAATGCTAGGTACTCTGTACTACCTGATTTCCCTTGCATGGAAAATGGTTTCATGTTCCATGATACAGATCATGAAGTAACTGAACCTGAAATTAAGAGTTAATGTACAGTCACAGAAACAATCATTGGTGGAACCAGGAAATAAATTTGGTTTGTGTTTACAGAGCCAAAGTTTCCATATTTATTTTGTTTTCATTAGTGTGCTAATCTTGTACATGCTCTGAACAAAATAATCTATTATTCTACTTCCATTTTTCTGGTCTCATACTTTCTAAAGGTACTACTGTTCCTTTCATGCAATTCTCTATTTGAGAATCCTTTACTTGTGAATTGCCTACTGAACCTCCCAACTGACGATACCGTATTTTACTCTTTAATATATCTTTTTTATACCCTTGTTCCTTCAACTTTTCGCATTTTATGAACTCTCCATTTTTTCCTCCTAGAATATTTTATTTCATGAATATCAAAGAGATAAAGGCATACATTTTGCTGTTTACCACTTTCTACCATAAAGAGAAAGCAGGTAAGGCCACATGAAGATACTTTAGCCCCAAAGAAAAACAATAAGAAAAGGTACATATACATACTCAAAAATGCACATGTAGTGTTACTTTTAGGAACTTCAAGTTTTGAAAACCATTAGTGAAATCACTCCTTGGCCTAATATTTAGGAAAGAGACATATTTTCATTTAGTCAAGGGCAAAAGAATCACAGTGATGATTTAGTAATATTTGCTTTATTCAAACACCAACATACAAATGTGAATGTCTACATACACATGTGCATATTTATCAGGACAAAAAAATTCTCAAAAATGAAGTTGCTGTTTTTGATCCTAATATGGCAGCTAAAATCTGTCTCATTGGAAACTTTTTGGGGTATAATTTTAATTTTATACTTGTAAGTCAATTTCTTTCCACCCGTGGGGGTGCCCTGAACCCAAAATCCAAATGCAGGTACTTCCAAATTGGGTACTAAGATTTCTGCTCTATAGTATACACAATCCCTATTAGTGGTACAGGATAGATCAAGACCAGGCCCAGGGAGTTGGATATCTCAATTAAATTGGGAGCATCCAGGAAACAGATAATTCTGCTCTGTGGCAAAGCTGAAATTTACAGACAAAGGCTGCAAGAACTGTGTCTAGGATGAAGGATGGATAACAGATTCTGTTAGCAACAATTACTGAGATTACACGCTTATTTTTGTTCCCTTGGCATATACCAATCTCATTTCCTATTTTTCTTTAGTAACTGTAACACAGTCTGATCATTGTATCTCTGCATGTATACATAAATATTAAAGTCATTATATCCTTTTTTTTTTTTGGGTCCGGTCGTGGGGCCTGAACTCTGGGCCAGGCGCTGTCCCTCAGCTCTTCAGCTCAAGGCTAGCGCTCTACTACTTGAGCCACAGCGGCACTTCCGGCTTTTTTCTTTTTGCTTATGTGGTGCTGAGGAATTGAACCCAGGTCTCATGCATGCAAGGCAAGCATTCTACCGCTGAGCCACCTTCCCAGCCCCTCATTATATCCTTATAAGTGTCTCAAGTAGTTTAATTTTCTTCTACTTTTTTTCTCTTTTGTTGAAATCCCTTGTTTAAACATTGTGGTAAAGAATGTTTTACTATGGCAAAGTTGCTTTGGATAATGGAAGTGTTGTCTTTATGCAGGAAATGACTAGAGGAAGTCTCAATACAACAAAGAAATGGTTAATGCACATTTAAGGAGGGGAGAGGTTAAATGCTTATGCACAAAAAAAGGACAGATTGTGAACAAATGAACCTAAACAATTGTAAGGCACTAATATTTATTTCTATAATTAGAACCAGGACTGACTCCCAGAATACAAAATAATTTAAGACACTAATTTCTATATCTATTTACAAATATATGTAAATATTCATATTTTCCAAATATATATGCATATATATTGTTCAAAATCATATAAAATGGATGACTATATACAAATATATTCCTAACCAATATAATTAAGACAATGCCCTTGAATTTGCTAACATAAAATTATGGAATGTAAAGCAATAAATCTGAACTTGTTTTTTCCTTAATGTGAAAGCCTAGCACATACCTGTAATTCTAGCTCCTCAGAAGGCTGTGAGCTAGAGGATCACAGTTTGAAGCTAGCCCAGGCAGAAAAATCCCTGAGGCTCCATATCTCAGATAATCAGCAAAAACCCAGGCTAGAAGCATGACTATAGTAGCATGAGTCTTGAATAAGAAAAACAAGTGATCATGAGGGCCTGTGTTCAAACATCAGAACCATCCAAAAAGAAAAAAAAATGCATCATTTTGAATTTGACAACATATAATTTTGTTTAGCAATTTATAAGGATTGAAAAAAACAAAAGTATAAGATAATATCTCTTCCCTGTAGACTTCAGCATTTGAGGAGTCATATATGTACACAAAACACCAAAATTAATAAGGCAAAACAGGTGGTTTACTATACTGAAGAATGGAGAGAAATTAGCAAAGAGAATTTGGGAAAGGTTTTCCTGAGAAGGAGAAAATACAGTTTTTGAAAGAATGTTAGGACAGAAGTACAGGAAAAAATATGCACTTAAAACAACATAGGCAGTGGTAGGGGATTTAGTCCAGTGGAGGAATACTGGCATGGCAAGTGCAAGGTCTTGAGTTTGGTTGTCAGTTCTCAAAAAAAAAAAAGAAAAGAAAAGAAAAGAAAAAAACAAAGAAATGGAAAGGAAAGGAAAAGAAACAAAGGAACAAAGAAAGAAACAGAAACAAAGAAAGGAAAGAAGGACGAGTAAAACCATCACAGGCAAAAAAATCTACACATATACAATAGAACAAAAAACCAACTTGGTTTGGTGTAAGAGAATTGTAGGACTCATGTTGGAGAAATAGAACTTTTGACAACTTTGACATTGAATGATAGCTAGAATTTGTATATTATTTATAAAATATGTAAGAGAGTGTATGCCTCTGCTGGGGATTGGTAGTAAAAAGCAAAGATAAGAGACTGAGGTGGTAATTTAGCAGGATTCATTTAATATGTAAAGTGGCTTACTATATAGACTGAGGTCTGAAACTCTGCTTTTAAGAATAATAATAAACTAAAAATTACAATATTTAACTCAGGAGATCTGGATTTAAGAACTATTCCCAATTATGAGACCTTGATCAACTGAACTGAGACTTACCCATGACTTTATTGACCTATAACTGAGTATAATAATCATATCTATCTCACTACCAGGCTCTAAAATGAGACAAGGTAACAGTTCTCAAAGGGAAGTTACATTCTCATTGCTAATGCTATTAAATTGGACTAAAATACCTACAATTTATCCCGCTGTCACAAATTAATTGTTCTGTTATTTAGAAACTAATTGTTACAAGCCCATTGTAAAGTAACTGAACAATACACAAAAGCACAAAGATAATTTTAAAGATCATTGTGCATAAAAGCCTTTGTAATGGCATTTGTTAAGAAAAGTAGCAAATAGGTAAAAGCATATAATGTCAATTAATTAGCATAAGGTCTATTTATGGAAAAAATAACTTTGTTCTGTATGTAATAGACTATATCAAAATGAAAGTTTTAATGTGAGATTGTTTTATTCAGAAATACATCCTTGGATGTGAGTTAATTAGTACTTGGTAAATTAGTCGATTTTACTAGATCACGTAAAATGATAGATAGTTTGTATTCTGAAATGTTACTGAGGATCATGTAAATATTCTTGAAAATAAATTTCCTACCAGTTGTTGCCCTGTCAGGCCTTCAAGGAGGTCTAAGAGGCGTCTCCCATCCTGCAGGTCACTGAAGAGGTTCTCTATGTGCTGTTTTCCAAACTGAAATAAAAAATATATGCAGTTAAGCAAAGCAATGATTCATCTCCAGAATTAAGCCTTTTAAAATTGAAACTTAGATTTAAGGACATTTTATGCATCTAATTAATAATTGACTGAGGATGATAAATGAAAACACAGTTCAACTTTAAGAATATAACAAAAGAAAATAACTATTGGGTCAAACATGTAAAAGAAAACATTGAAATTATCTCATCTTTTTTTTCTCTTTTGGTGTTACTGGATACTATCAGGTAGAACTCAAACTTGCTGGAGAAACTCTTAACACTTGAGCTAAACTCTCGCCTTTGAACTGTTTTGAAACAAGGCATAGATATCTATACCCTAAATTTTCTAGTTAACTTGGCCTACTGAATTATGATCCCACTAAGGAGACAAAAATAATCAATATTTAAGTCTTTATCCCATTTATTAATTGGGCAGTTGTTTCTTTGAGGATTTGTTGTTGGGGGATTTAGTTTTTTTTGAGTTCCAAGTATATTTTAGATATGACACCCTTGTCCGTTGTATGGCTAGTGAAGATCTTCTCCCAGTCATGGGCTTTCTATTGATCTTGCTAGCTATGTCCTTTGCCTTGCAGAAGCTCTGCAGTTTCATGCAATCCCATTTGTCCAACCTTTCTTTGATTTTTTTTTTGCAATGACTAGTACATGTCTAGGACAAGCAGAGGTCAAAGGCTATGTACATATGACCACATGAGATAATGTTAAGTAAAATGTACCCCACAGCAGGGACACAGTGTTTTTTTTTCTTTCTTGCTAGTGTTTTTAATGTTCTTACAATGCACTACGTGACTCTTTTGTTTCTTTTCTATGTTCTTCCCCCATGGTATAACCCCTGTTTTCACTGGATTTGATGCTGCTGTTCTGCATCTTGTTTATACATTTTTGTAATTTGGGGAGGGGAAGGGATATTGCCGAACATTTAAATGGGGATGCAGGCTGACCCATTGTGACGACGAGATGTACAGGAACTATGTTGAAAATGAACATTACAATGTCAGGGTGAGGGGGTGGGAGGAGTTGGGGAGGTGGGAAGAGAAGAGATGGTAGGGGGAAAACTAAAGAAGAGGTAACAATGCTCACTACGAAATGTACTCATTACCCTACTCATATAACTGTAACTCCTCTGTACAACATTTTTACAATAAATCTATATATATATATATATTAAAAATAATCAATATTTAAATTTTCTGGCAGTTCTGGGTAGGAAGAGAAATAGAAATACAAAGAAACAATGACAATGTGATTTATTCTGGTATGCATAATAAAATGTAAACATCCTGTGTATTTATCAGTGCTTACAACATCCTTATCACATAGAACATGTTTTCTCTACATAGACATTGTGCATCCTCCCTCATAATGACACCTTCTCATTTTGTATCACTTGACTTTTAGAAAGATTTGATTAAAATACAATTGAAATGTCTGTGAAAGTTATCTATTTTTCCCAGTTCTCTGCTTGGGAGCTACATTAAGGAAAAGTAGTAATCTCTAATACTATCTAACATTTTTATAGTAACTACTTGTAAGAGACATTGTGCTAAATAAGTAGACTTTATAAACTTGTTAACACTTCTCTAAAGTAAGGATTAATACACTGATCATGTAGGTAAAACAGAAAGAGGTTCAATATATAGTACTTTGTCACAAAACTGAAAGGAGATAAAGCCAAGGTTTTGAGTTAGATGCACCTAACTCATAGGGCCTTTGCTCTTTCTGTTGTATGCTACATCCTTGGCCTTTTTATCTTTATATATCATTATCTTTCAAATATTTCATTTTTTGTCATAGGCTACCAGAATTTTCTTTTTCATGTTAAAAGCCTACAACTCTTACCTAGTGATTGATCACCCAGGCTATCTAGAAAGCCCTAATTTATGAGTCACGGACATATAGATGTTACACTCCCAAAAACCTGATCCAGGTACTGGAGGATACACTGGTAAATCAGGCAGACATTGCTCGTGTCTTATAGATCTTCTTCTTCAGTGGGGAAAGCAACTAATTCTTTTTATTTTTTTACTTATTTATTTTGGTCGGTCATGGGGCTTGAACTCTGGGCCTGGGTGCTGTCCCTCAGCTCTTCAGCTCAAGCCTAGCACCCTACCATTTGAGCCACAGCACCACTTCTGGTTTTCTGGTGGTTTATTGGAGGTAAGAGTCTCACAGACTTTTCTGCCCTGGCTGGCTTTGAACTGTGATCCTCAGATCTCAGCCTTCTGAGTAACTAGGATTACAGGCATGAGCCACCAGTGCCCAGCTGGGAAAAGAAATATTTCTAAAAGTAGCAAATGGAATAAGAAAGATACAGATACTGGGAATCTCAGACTTGGGATCAGAATTAATTTCCCAAAATGCCTATTGATAGGTTTTACATTAACCAGTAAGCCATCAGGTCCTTATCTATTCCTGGGATCACTTATATCATGTCAAGAAAATCCTGGTTTTCAGACCCCTATTACTTTTAAGATTGAACATATAGGAGTAAGACTCTCACTATAGCCAGGTATGCAGGTTAATAACAAATCCTCTAGGTGCCTGGGTGCTTCCCCAAAAGAAAACCTTGGCTTTTGTTGGGAGTACACTAGTGCTTGTATGCTCAGCTTAGGGAATCTTGCTATACATATGTTTTGACAATGTAAACTACAGGTTATTCTTTTGTAATTCATACCCAACAAATCTTTGTACAATCTCCAGAGGAAAAGAAATTCAAGGAACTCAAAATACTAGCATGCTGGAACTTATTTGAAAAGCAGTTTTACTAGATATAAATCTTAAAAGTTACTGTGTCATTTTTATGAAACTTCAAGTAAAACTTACCACTAGTATGCAAAGAAAATGAATGTATACTCTACGAATGTCCTCGAGAACTTAATTTCTAAGCAGGAATGACTTGATATTTGGAGGGAAATAAAAAGTTTCTACTTTCAAATTGAATTAATATATATAATGCCTTGAAAATTGTGGAAGGGGGTTTAGGAGCAAAATTTTGCAGATGCAATTGAGAAAATATGGCTTCTAAATTTATCAAGAAGGAAATCTGCACTCAAGAATGTATCATTTTTTTTTTTTTTTTTTGCTGGTCGTGGACCTGAACTCTGGGCCTGGGCACTGTCCCTCAGCTCTTCAGCTCAAGGCGAGTGCTCTACCTCTTGAGCCACAGCGCCACTTCCGGCTTTTTCTGTTTATGTGGTGCTAAGGAATCGAACCCAGGGCCTCATGCATGCAAGGCAAGCACTCTACCACTGAGCCACCTTCCCAGCCCAAGAATGTATCATTTTTTAAAGAAAATAAAATACAGTTAGCTGATAGTGTTCTTAAGAAATACATCTATCTATATTGATAGATAAAATCTATCAAAACAGGAAAGATGTGAATGGCAAAATGTTCCTTCAAAAATAAGCAGAGAATGGAAATAGAAAGCAATTCTTCAGATATAGAATAAAAGTATTGCATAGTATTAAAGAACTAAGAATTTTGCTGGGTGCTGGTGGCTCACATTTAGAATCCTAGCTACTTAGGAGGCTGAGATCTGAAGGATCAAGGCCCAAAGCCAGCCCAATCAGAAGAGTCCATGAGACTCTATCTCTACAATAAATACCAAAAAGCCAGAGGTATGGCTCAAGGGGTAGAGTATCAGCCAAGCAAGTAAGCCAAGCCAACACATTTAGAAAGCATGCTTTCCTGAGTTCAACCCCATTATGACCAAAATAATATCAGAACTATAGTTGGCTTGGGGAATAAGGAGTCCATGAACTTCAACAAGGCATACAGGATTTTGCTTTCAGATCAAACAAATATATAGTCCAGAACCTTATCATTCTCACTTTCAAACTGAAACCTACCAAAATAGTATAGGCTACTAAAAGGCTTCCAAATGGACCTAGTTCAGGTCCCTAGGATGAGGAATCAATCAGTTTATACAGATAAAGTCAGTTCTAGGTATCATATCTAATTTGAAAAAATATATTCAATAATACATAAAAGAATCACAGTTGAAATTCCATTCTTATTTCTTATACCCACCATCATTCTCTTATACAGTGCTTTTCAGATTGTTCCATTACAGTATGCTTGTAGCAAATAAAACAATGAATTTGTCCTGGAATACAACACTTTTAAGTCCACGGTTCAAAATTTCTATGAAAACATATGAATTTGTAGTGTTTTTCCTTCCTCTCTTAATGAATACTTGTTTTAATGTAAAATCAAAATATTTCAAGTAAAATTTTTCTTAATGTCTAAAGTGATCATTGATTATAGACTTTCAGATGTTTATTTAACATGTAGTATGAATAGTCCAGGAAAAGCAAAACATCTCACTACTTTTGGACGCTCCTCATTTCTTGGGTAACGACTCATTCATGAGAATTACAGGCATGATATAACAAATGGAAAACATTTTTCAGAAGCAGGTCAAACTAACTGTGGAATTCAACTCTCCTATTTACTAATTGTACTATATTTACTAACTGTACTATATTCAGCCTTTGTTAGGCACAATTTACTCATTCGTCAAATAAGATTTAAAATAACATACTTCAGAACACTTCTATAAGCTTTAAATGAAATAATAAAGAATTGGCATATAATATGTTGTTTTGTTTTGCCAGTCACAGGGCTTGAACTCAGGGCCTGGTCACTGCCCCTGAGCTTCTTTGTGTTCAAGGCCTAGTACTGTACCACTTGGACCACAGTGCTACTTCCGGCTTTTTATGGAGTAGTTTATTGGAGAAAGTCTTATGGACGTTTGTGCTCAGGCTGGCTTCAAACCACTATCATCAGATCTCAGCGTCCTGAGTAGCTAGGATAACAGGTGTGAGACACTGGCACCTGGCTATAATACATTCTTAATATAGTATAATATTAATGTTTTGTTATTCCATTAGTCCTTGTGCACATTTCTTTCTTATATCAAATGTTATGTGTAAATAAAAATACAACATAATAAATGTGTAAAAAAAACTGAAGTTA